TTGGAACACACCAGGAAGCCGGTGGAACATGCGTTTTTGCTCTGCTCTTTATGCGTTTTTGCCGTGCAACGGTAGAGCGCTGCAACAGGCAGCAAAAACGCATATTGCAACGACCCTGTCAGTGTGTGTGTATGTATGATGTGTGTGCGTGTGTGTGTGCGTGTGTGCGTTTTCGTCCGGATATTTCAATTCGCCAACCACGCAAACTTTGAAGCTGGAATTTTGCCAGTGTGTTCCCCAGCCAGGTGCCCACCCCAGGGCCACGGTATCAACTCGCATGCGCATCTGGGCCCCGCACACGAACACGTGAAAGTTTTAGCGGGAAAACTGATAACCCGCAAACGAGAAAAGCTGGAGAGCTGGAACCTTGGGGGAATGTTCCCTACACGCGTAGGACAAAAAGATTTCAAATTCAGCTTCCCAGGACTGCCCGGAGCTTACGGGCACGTGAAAATTACGGCGGGAAAATTCATAACTCGAGAATGAGAAAAGCCAGAAAGTCAAAACTTTGGAGTAATGTTCCCCCACACACGACCAAAAGTCTTCAAACTCAGCTCCTTAGGACCATTCGGGGCTCACGTGCGGACACGTAAAAATTTTGGCGCGAAAATTACTAACCCGGCAACGGGAAAGGCTAGAAAGCTGAAACTTTAGGGGAATGTTCCTTATTCATGTGTGAGCAACATTAGGTGTTTAGAAGCGCCCGAGGCTCACGTACGGGTATGTAGAAATTTTGGCTTGAAAATTACCCGGGAACGAAAAAAGCTAGAAAGCCGAAACCTTGGGGGGAATGACCCTTACTCATGCAGGGACAAAATCAGGTATTTAGAAGCGCCCGGAGTCCACATACGAGCGCATTGAAATTTTGGCGCGAAAATTACTAACCCAGGGACGGGAAAAGCTAGAAGGCTGAAACTTTAGGGGAATGTTCCCTACTTATGTACGACCAAAATTAGGCATTTAAAAGCGCCCGGGCCAATGTGCGGGCACGCGGAAATTTTGGCGCGAAAATTACTAACCCGGGAACGGAAGAGCTAAAAAGCTGAAACTTTAGGGTAATGTTTCCTACTCATGTATGACCAAAAGATTTCAAATTTAGCTCCTTAAAATCGTCCGGTACT